AAAACTTGATCACAGATGATCACAGTCAGTTATTCCAAAAACCATTAATTAATTAATTAATTAATTAATTAATTAATTAATTAATTCATTCATTCATTCATTCATTCATTCATTCATTCATTCATTTCCTTCAACTTAGTCTCTAACTTATCGGGTGTCAGTCCAAAATTTTGTACACTCAAATTAATATGTTGGAGAAAAATATTAAATAAAATTTATAATAAATATCAAATTTTGTTTAACAAATTTTATTTTATTTATTTTATTTTTGAATAGAAGTATCATACATTAAAAAAAAAAAAAAACATTTCCCCATTGTGGAAAATGCAGCGGGAATAAGCACAAGCTTATTATTTTCCCACCCCATTACCACACACATCATCCATCTGTTACTTAAACTTATTTTTTTTTTACTTATCTATTATTTTTACATGAAACATATGAGCTTTGCATGAGACATATTTAATCCTTTTGGCGTCTTTGACATATTACATGTTTGATTCCATTTGTTCATTTACATTTTATAACAGACCCAAAAATACATAGTTCTGCAAACAGCCATTAAGTAAAATTTCATAATTTAACCATTCTTTTTCAGTCACCTCTATTAATCATTATATTCCTTTAATAATATATATTTATACAACTTTTTCAATTGATTAATATCTCGACATTGTTTGAGAATCTGTTCTAGACTGTTCCATTATTTCACACCACTTAGATCTATACAAACTTTTTTAAATGTGTCCTTGTTTTCAACATCTAAAAATGTTGTTCTACTCTAAGATTATACCCCTTGTCTTTTTTTTTTTTACTTTTGTATGCACTTTGGAAGTAATTTATTCCTAGCTGTTTTAAATTTAACCAAATCATTGAACTTAAGTATCTTTAATTAAAAAAATAAAGGATTTGTACTCTCCAAATACCCCACATTTTCTATCAGTCTATTTACTTTTTTCTGCGTTGTACATAAGAATCGTATACGTTTAAATTCATATTTAATCTTTCTATACCTAAAGATTTTAGGTCACCAAACTCTTATTTTTATGAATATAAGTGTTTAATGAAAGTGTAAATCCACCAAAAATGATTGGCCATATTCATTGAGAAATGGACAAGCATATTCTTCAAAACAAGGTGTGCTCATTTATGCACTGTTTAGTTTACAAGATTCATGTGTATTTTCACAGCAATCACAAAACTTGAAGCAAATAATGCCATATGTTTTGAGAAAATCCATCAGAAATCAGTCATTTTAGGCTACAGATATATATATAAAAATGTCCCTGCAAAATCCTGGAAGGACAGCTGATGGGATGTAATATGTATAAATAATAGATTGTGTCTTTTCCCTCTGCAGAAAAGTCAAGCCAAAAGTCCTAGGTTTTGAACATGCATGCAAGTGATAAAACCTATGTAACAAACCACAATGTGATGCAACTGCAATATAAACCAAGCTTGTCATTCCATTATCTACATTACAACCTCCACACACACAGAACTGGAAGGAATAACAAAACAGCATGTAGCCTACAATTTAGAAAAAAAAGGCCAATTTCATTTAAAACAAATTCCTTCACACATTACATGTTACTAACAGACGTCTAGCAGAGGCCAGCAAGCATCCTTACTGTGTTCACCTCGCCTCCTTGTTGATTTAAATCCTACTGCAGAGTAAGAAGTCATTAAATTAATAGTTGATGCAACATTGAAAACATATTTCACCGTTTACCCACTCTGTGCTCGTTTCAAACCAGTTTGAGTTTCTTTCTTTTGTAGATACTGAACTAGAAACTGGTCACCATTGACCTACATAGTAGTTTTTTTCCAATGGATGTCAATGGTTACCGGTTTTCAGATGTCTTCAGAATATCATCATATGTGTTCAGTTGAAGAAAATTACTCACAAATGGAACTACTTGAGGGTGAGTGTTTAGTGTGTACGTTTTCATTTTTGGGTGAGCTTTCCATTTAGGTTTAGCTACATTTATTTAGTTTAAAAGTCAAACTGCGCCCCCTCTTGGCTATAATTAACAAGTAGTTAGTGAATTGTTTGTAATTGACCTCAGATCCAACTTTCAAACTCAGCTCTATTAGTAGGGAGAAGCAAATCAGTGTCATCACATATATGTGGAATCACTGAATACTTTATACTTTTAATCAAAGAAGAATATATCTAATCCACGTGAAACTCTTATAAAATGGAGCATGGAATTAATGACTTGTAATGAAAGAGTGTGTTAAAGTAAGGATGGCGAAGTAGTTCTTTGAAGACCTCTGTGTGATGTCATGTGTGATCCTTTATGTGATCTCTGGCAGGAATAGACGGCAGATGCTCAGGAAATTGTGCTGGAAGTATCATTTTCATTTCAAGTGCCTTAACTGCTGTAGACAAACATTTTTCAAGAGCTTCAAGTATTATTATTAGCCTTCCGAGCACCTTCTAATCCTAAATTAAACTTTTGCTATGCATATGCATTAATCGTGATTCAGTCTACAATACAAACGTGTTGTTGTTAAAAAAAAACAAAAAAAAAAAAAAACTATGCTATTTCCCAATGTTATGTTTATTTCCATTAGCAGGCCTACTGATAGACTGACTCGAATGTTTTCTCCACGGGTCATTTATAATGTTTTATTCAACAATCCAAGATTTTTCTCTCATAAAATGAGATAAGGATTTGGAAAGCATTCATATCTAACAACTGCAAGCAATAAAGATGACGCTTTAATTATAACATTTCATGGCGGGTATCCGCTGCGGGCAGAGAGACATTTAAGCCATTATCTATACGCTCGATGCAATTACAGAATGCTTAATCTAACGAATAATTAATCAGCTCGGGTATAACGCGACTTCCATATTCCTTACCGTGAGGTTTTCTAGGGAATTCAAATGGGACCTAGACCACAGCATTATGCTTTTGGAATAGGAGAGAGACCATTTTTCTAGCAAGCTTATCTGAGCGGTATACTTTTCAGAATTCAGACTTTTAGTGGTCTGGAGATTTGACACTTGGTGATAGCGCACTGTGAGTGTAGAGCGCTGCTGCCGCCTGGAGCTGTCCGTTCAGCACCATGGCGCAGGACTTCAGCGCACGAAGCCCAAAGTTGCTTCAGCTTCATCTTGTCCCAGAGTTGGCTATAGTCCTGTCCCTGGACATCTACCTACCTGCAGAGTTCATCTAACAGTGCTTTAACTCATCTGCAATTAGCAAATGGTCCTAAAGATCTAATTTAGTTAGCTAAGCTTGTGTTTGATGAAGGTTTAACTTTGAAGGAATTAAGGTATCCACAAGAAGAGGACTGTTGGCCATCCCGTCTTAATTTTTATGAGTTTTTAAGAGATGCATCTCGTTTTTTCAAGCAGTAATTTAACACCCCCCCCCCCCCAAAAAAAAAAAAAAAAAAAAAAAAAAAAAAAAAATATATATATATATATATATATATATATATATATATATATATATATATATATATATATATATATATATATATATGTATATATATATTTTTTTAAACAAAAGAACAAAATACATTAAAATATACAGATAATAATAATAATAATAATAAAACAAATGGTTAAAATATTAAAATTAATTAGGTAAATAATACATAATTTAAAATAATTAAATTATAGCCTTAATTAAATTTAGCCAGTCTGTGCTGGTTAAACAAATATGTTAAATGTTGCTGAAATGTAAGATCTGAACAATACAATAAGACACCAACAAGGGTTTGAAAGCTCAAACATTAAAAAAATGTTGCATGGTCCACCTGTTTTAGAAAGTGTTGAAAGGGGGTCCTTATTTCATAAAAATCTTGTAATTTCCCTTTAAAGTGTATGTCAGCTTCTCCAGAGCAAGATTGCTGGTAAAAAGTCATCAGTTTTAGTGGAAATATGCAGAGCATTTGTGGCAAAGCAATGCTTTTATACAAATAGACTGCAGCTCTGCACAAGAGATTTGGCCAGCGTAGAAATTGAAATGGTCGTGTCCAACTGAGTCTGGTTTCTCTTGAGTTTTTTTTTTCTTCACTTTCTCCAATTGGTGAAGTTTTTTTTTCCCTCGCCGCTGTTGCCACTGGCTAGCATGGTTCGGAATCAGTAGAGCTACACGCCAATGGATTTGCTCTTCAGTGTTCGGACTCTCAGTAGTGATTATTAAACCTCACTGAACTGAGCTAAACTGAACTGAACTTAAACTCTGAAAACTGAACTGACACATTCAATTTACAATTTACCATAATCTTTTATTTGAAGCTGCACTGTCACAATCTACATTGTAAAAGCACTATACAAATAAAGGTGAATTAAAAATTGAATTGAAATAGCCTGTAATAAGAGGAAAAATAACTGATTATAATATCTGAAGAGTATAAAAGGTCATCACCAACAAGCTCACCAAGCTTTCCAGAAATATGTTTCTTTGATTTGATTTTGAACTTTTTTTTATTAATTCAATGCCACAAAAACACGAGGTGCTACATATTTAAATAGTTTTCTAAAAGAGAAAATATAAAAATGATATGTAGTTGAATTAAACGTTTTCACATGTTTTTAGTGCTTTTTGTTTTGTGATAGTTCTAAAAGATTTACATATAATTTGAAGTCATTTACAAAATGTGAAAAGTTAGCTTTAAATTGAGCCCACTTTTTCTTTTATGTAGTATTGTCCTAATAACATAAAGAAATTAAAAAATCTGTTGTGCTTTGCAATTTAAGTTCTCATCAGAATAAAACAGTACATCAAACAAATTTCTGTCTTATAATCCATTTTTTGTTTAATAAACAATTCCAAATCTTTCCAAAATATTCTAGAGTAAATACAATGAAAAAAGATACAAAATTGTTTCTTTTTCTTGACCAGAATTTACCAACCTTAAACATTCCCATCGTCTTTTCATTTGCACGAGAACGTCTCACGAGCCCTCACTTCAGATTGGTTGGATTCTTCTTAAGGTGTATCTACACATCCCGCTTTACCCAATGGCTCTCGGAGACACTTCGAAGGGGAGGATGTTTGCTTTGCTCTCGCAAGCCATTTTAGCACAACATGGTCAGTCATAGTCCGACAGCCAATGGTGAGTGCGCTCTGGTTGGACTTGCCTCTGCCTCGCCAGTCCCTTCTCGTGCTGCTGTCCTCGGCGTGAACGCGCGTGGTACCCAACGCTCGTGAAGAGGAGGAGGAGGATGTGGCGCGCGGAGGGGAAATGGCTGCCGAAAACAAGCCGGAAGGTAAGTCAGAAACATCGGGGATATTTTTTACTTGTACGGCAAGAGTGTGCGAGGGGAAAAAATTGGAGGCAGGCAGGGAAGAGCCGCCAGTTGAGATCCGAGGAGCTTTCGGGATTGTAAAGCCTCTGTGTTTATCCTCGCACACTCGTTATTCCAGCACGGAGACATCACATCACATCACCCTAGCCAGCATCGGTAGCTAGCCAGCAGTGTGCATCACACATATTTAAAAACAAGCCGGAGCAAAAGCGCGAGCACCTTTGAAAATTCAAACATCTGCCTCGTGCTCCATTTCCTTCAGCCTGACGGTCGCGCTCAAAGCAAAACTTGTGAGCCGCGACGACTGTCGTTTTCTAACTTCTTGTCTCGATTTATCAAGCTCCCTCGGTTGCGTAAATTGTTTCTGAGTTGGAGTGTATAGAGTTCTGGAGACCGTAGTTTGACCAAAAGCTCTCCTCACCGCCAGAAGTCGTACAAATTTCATTGGTAAGCTTCTTTAATAGTATATTTTTTCCTTCAGTCACTTTCACGCGCCCATAGACACTAACTGACCTTGCATTTAGCGGTTTTGTCATGTGTGGTCAAAGCAATTTCACTTCGAAATTTGCTTCAAGGACACATTCTTCCACGCCAGTGTGTCCCCTTTACGTCAGATACACATAAACAGTGGTTTAAATCTCTCAACCGGGGTCTGATATTTCCAGACCTTTACAGAACCAAAGGAATGTGGCGGCAATAACTTTAAAATGATTGTTTATTTTTTATTGCCAGAACGGAAGAAGACGTGGCATTGCATAATACATTACCATTTCTCATTAGCAGTGTTTTGAATACTTTTCAGAAATGTCTCTGGAATGAATATGGTAACTAGAGTTGCTTTCACGAAGAGACTCTTGCACAGTTGCAGATAATGCATGTTTACAGTGTGTCGCTACTGAAGAAATGGTCAAAATCCCTAATTATTATTGTCAGAAGTAGCAACAGTATCATTTTTAGTGTCATCACATGTACTTGACAAGAAATACACATTGAACAGCTGTCAAGCTGACAACACTTTCATGTAACAGCTTTCCCTGTACATAAAGCATATAAACACGTAGGTTTTGATAAGTCGTCATTAGCTGCGAGGATTTTTGGTTTGTAATTCACCTTCAGTCACATCAAAAGAAAAGGGTGGTTTTACAACCACAAGGTGGCGACATTGAGTTAAAATAAACTTTTTGTTGTTGTAATCTTGAAAATATAGTTGTGGATAAAGATAACAGAATAACAATTCTGTCATGTTTTGGATAATTAACAAACTCACCTGTAAATAATCTTTATACACAGCATTTTATATCGTGATTGCAGATGATAGGGTTTCCTATTTTTAATGCTGAATAGCCTAGTAGAAAGTGAAAAATAACTTTGGTTATAAAACCTTGCATTTGTATTGTAAATTATGCATATTTAGGTTTAAGATGTAATCAATTAAAACATAATTGGCATTACAACATCTCCAGATAATTCCAGCATTCTAAACATATAGTACTCCACAAGGGGGTGATATTGAGCTTCCAAAATGTTCCCTGTTATATTTTTAACACTGTGTCAGCTAAGAATACAAGCATTACCATAAATATAGATATATACGAGTGTTTTAAAAACAGCACTGAGGCTAACTACCTAAACTAGCTGCCTCTCTCTCTCTCTCTGTGTGTGTGTGATTGTGAGTGTGTGCATGTGTTTGTCAATCTCTGCATGTCTGTGTGTGCATTTCAGATGCAAACAAACACAACAAGCCTTGAAACGTGCCTCAGACTCTGCTGCTTCCTGCCAATGCTTCTCAGTAGCCAAGAGCTTTTTAGAAACCCCGACTTGTGACTCCCATTGCAGAACGGGCTCGGTTATTTTTGTCATGCTTGTCAGGTCAACGTATGGGGGAGGAGCTAGCGTTCCACACCTCCACATTAATATAGAAAGCGCTGTACCATATAGCTACAACTAAAAACAGAGTCCTGTTTAGCTGGCAGTGGGTTATATTTAATTTCTAGGCCTACACACATTCGGGACGTATAGGGGAGGCATTTTGCATGCCATTCATTTTAGTGCTGATCGTTGCCTGTGTTTTAAACTTTTGTCCTTGAAGCATTTAAAATGTTTGCATAGAGCATGGTTCTCGAGGGCCTTATTATTTGGCAGGGTTTTTTGCACATAAGGACAGGCTGTTCTTAGCTGGAGGCTGCTGTGAAAACATGGTTAATGTCTCACGCACCCCATAGAGTTCTTCTGTCTCCTGGTATGACCCAGCTCACTTTTTAGATTGCCAGGAACTGGGACTGTACCTATGGAAGGTGGCGGCTGTGTGTTGGGATGTGCTAGCTAGGGAACTGTACCGTTAAAGGGACAGTACACTGTTAAAGCAGAAAATCATTTACTCACCCTCGTTGAGCTAAAATCTGATATTGAGGACAAGATGATGGCAATTAGCTTAATTAGCATATTAATCCTCTGGTACTGTTATGCTATTTTTTGTAAACCTTTTTATTTTTACATTCAGTGAAATGGCAGCATGGTGGCTCAGTCACTGTCGCCTCACAGCAAGAAGATCGCTGGTTCAAGTCCGGGCTGGGCCAGTTGCATTTCTGTGTGAAGTTTGCATGTTCTCCCCCTCTTTGCATAGGATACCTCCAGGTGCTCTGGTTTCCTTTCACAGTCCTAATACATGCACTGTAAGTGAATTGAGTAAACAAAATTGGCCGTAGTGTATGAGTGCATGTTTGAATATGAGAGGGTATGGATGTTTCCCAGTACTGGGTTGTGGCTGGAAGGGCATCCGCTGCGTAAAACATGTGCCGGAATAGTTGGCTCGCCACAGCGGAATGAACCGCCCTGATTAATAAGCGACTTAGCCGAAGGAAGCCGAAGGAAGATGGATGAATGAATGAATGAAATTGCATCAAATTCAGCAAAGACTTAGGCACTTGCCATGTAATAAAAAAAGGCTAAATGCACCTGAAAAATCATCACACTTGTGTTGTTTGCCGTCAGAAATGATTGCATTTAAAAATAATATGAATATTAAGTTAATCTTGTGAAAATATTTGGCACAAAAAAAAGTTTTTTTCTTTTGAGGTATCAGCCTCAAGTTTAAGTATTTATTTTTTTCATAGTGTTAGAGTAAAACATGTTTTGTGAAATTTATATTTCATAACACATTTTAAAAGAAGTTTCACTTTTTACCACATTTTTTCACTTAATATATTTTCATTCTGTCATATCGCAAGAAAGCTGAATGTTAAATACAAAAACACTTTATTATTGATAAGCATGGGCCAGTATAAGATTCTGACGGTATAATAACCTTGGACAAAAACATCACGGTTCCACGTTTTTTGTGGTATTGTGATTACTGCTCTAAAATATTTTCTTTTTAAATTTGTAAAAAACAAAAAAAATTTCCCTCTTGAACACAATATATTTTATTGTGAGAAACATTTAAAATATTTTGGAACAACAAACACGTCAAACTAAATTAATTATCAACTTCTGCTGTCTTCATTTTTTTTAAAAACACATATTTTTTAAAAATACAATTTTAAATGGCATCTTTTAAAACAGATATCTTTTTTTTTTGCTGGAGGTACTGTTGTCCTAAAAAAATAAATTAATAAAACGTACACATACCTTAGGTACAATTTTGCAGAAAATTTAAAACCTTGACTTTTGCAAACTGTGTCCCATGTCTATTATGGACTACCTAGAGATGGGTTGCGGCTGAGAGGGCATCTGCTGCGTAAAACATATGTTGGATAAGTTGGCGGTCCATTCCGCTGTGGCGAACGCAGATTAATAGAGGGACTAAGTTGAAAAGAAAATGCATGAACGGACTTAATATCATATTATGTCCCGATCAAATTTTTTTTTGCCCTTGTCATTTGATTTTGAGTATCTACCGATATGGAAACTCGATTAGATACTTCTATAATACATAAAAAAGACTAAAGAAGGGTGAAGAAACAGATCTAGGATGTCTCCTTATTTTAACATTTAACAACTCTGTTAAAAAACAGAGCACTTCTGTGAGGTAGCTTGAACAATCAAGTAATACATAACATAAATTCTTCACTTTTGGACTTTAGTGCAACAGTAAATATAAAACAAAGCTAATATAAATCAAATAGCACCTCAACTTAAAACACCTGGCAGGCATTTACATATTTCACAGTTTACTATGACAATGTTGTCGTCATCAACTTTATAATACCTCTAGACCGCAGACATTCTCGCGTTTTCCGCTTAAAGTTGCTTCAGTGTTCTATTTTGCCGGCATTTGACCAATAGCATCTCTGCAACAAAGTGATGTCATGCCTCATGCGTAGCTGTTTCTGTGTGAAGTCAAAAAAGAGGTCTAGCTCTGTGCCACCACATAACTATAGATGTGTTAAAAAAATCTGAATATATATATATATATATATATATATATATATATATATATATATATATATATATATATATATATATATATATATATATATTCGAGTCCTGATCGGGAGGTAACGTCTGATTCCAATCGAGTCTGAAACTGCATGATCGAATCTGGACATATATTATATTTTAATTAAATATACAAATAACAGGCAAACAAATCTATTTTGACCCCAGTGCGAACAGTACCAGAAGGTTAAACAGAAAATATGTCCATATTTCTTCTCGTATCTATTTAATTTGATGGTTTTTCCCCCTGCAAATACCACAAAAGCTGTTATATTACAACAACTGATTATTAGCACAAGAAACAGGCAGGACAGATATTTTCCAAAGAGAGATTTATGACATATTGGGCCATAAAATTACCATTTAGACACCTATACTAACCTTATATCGCAGTTCTTTTCAGAGTATGCTTTGAGATTTTGCTTTTCTAATTAAATTAGTGAATGGCAGGCCTAGATGGAGATGCCACTTCTTCTTGGGGACCTGTGAAAGATCCTTTCGGCTTGTCTCGATCCTTCCCTACCTGCCTCACACAGAAACACACATTAACTTCATCGATTGGTGTAGCTTACTAAAATTGAGCCTCACCAAACAGCCCTGGGACCACAATGAATGTGATTGCCGCCCTCATTGCTACCTGTTAGGGGCCATTTCTTGACTGTTTATTTCAGCGCCTACAGATTTATCAGTGAGACTGAGTAGCAAAGGGGGAAAAAAGAAAAGAAACAGACAGACAGACATAACATTTCAGGTGCTTTTGAAGATAAATCAGTTAGCATCATATACATTATATACAATGGTTTAGCTTCTTCCTTGGTGGTGAAACTAGTCATTAAGAGCTGGAGCCGTCTATGATACTCTGTTACAGTTAATGAAAATGTGCATGCGGTCTCAAGTACAAGGGAACTGGTTTGCTTTTACATTCCTCGTCCATACCCTTGCCTGCAAATGAAACTGCATTTTCTCCCCACAAGGCAGCACCTTAGGCCAAAGTAATCCCTTTAAATGCACCCCTGAATGTTCTCGATAAAAAAAGGGGGAGAAGCAAATAGGCACGCTGAACTCTGAGGCCGAACGGTGCATATTGTTTGGGAGAGGTGTTCCTCAGCATGGAGATGGACACATTTGGGATGCATGGGCTTGCTGATGGGAGGGAGACTGGGGTTCGGCAGACATGACACTGCTGACCCTGGTAAACATTCGTATAAGTTCCTGCTATGTGCATGGGGGAAATAAAGACTGAAACAAAGTTGTAAATCCGGGACTGTGTACTTTTCCCAGAATTCTTTTTTTTTTCTTCTTCTTCTCCACTCTCTCTTTGCTTCCTGAAGGACTGAAGAAAATCCGTAATCCGGATCGAATGTACAGATCAGCTGTGTGTTATTCGGCCCATGCTCCTCCTAAGAGTGTCAGTGATGACACAGAGACGAACAGTAAGAGCTGCTTATTAATATTGCATTCCGTGGCATTGCTCGAAGGGGCCACTTGCTGCCTAATCTATTATTCATCCATCGATTCATTTATTTGCCTCTTGATTTCATTTGTCGCCCTCTCCTCCCGTGGGACTTCCTGTTGGGGCTTTCTGTGATGATTGACGAGTCAATGCTTTGACGGGGTTATGTTGTCGATATCAGACGTGTTGTTAGTAACTGAAAGTGACAGTGGGTGGGTAAGACCTGGCACACCTCTTGCTTCAAACACCAGTGTCGACCTTTGAAAAACATCCATCTAGGAGGCCCAATGGCTCAGCGAGACTGAACTGTTGCATTTGTTGAAATCATTTGTCAACGCTACTAGACGCTTAGAGAATAGAACATGCATATTTTATGCTGGACTTTAAGCATCGCACATTTGTTGTGTTTGGATCATGCGCACATTAATATGGCTAGATGTGTTGTGGAGCTTTGATTGCTGTAGAAGTGGCACTGTTTTCATGTTTAATAGGCAGTATGTCTTCTTTTCTCGCACCTCTGAAGACTTAGTTGATCTGTGTAATTAAGTTCCTTGGTTTTTTTTTTCTCATGTAAATTTGTAAGTGGAGTTAAATCAGCCTCATCTTCTTGTTATGCCGTCTGCTCATTACGCTATTGAGTAAGTCCTTGCCATTTCAAAGCTCAAAGATTTTTAATGAACATGCCTAGAGATGGAACGTAAATGACAGAAGCGCTTGTTTGCATTCTTGAAGATTTTATTTAAGGTGGCGTGTGTGTGTGTGTATGCGAGAAATGTTATCATGTTTTCTGGAAAAACTGTCATATAATACCATCATATTTGATGCTATTTTCTGTACAATCTGGGAAAAGGCATTACTATTAAGAGCATACCATTTAAAATGTGTGAGATGGATATTTCGGTATATTCATTCATTCATTCATTTGCTTTTTGGCTTAGTCCCTTTATTAATAAGCTGAATGAACCTCCAACTTATTCAGCATATAAGTTTAACAGAGTGGATGCTCTTCCAGCTGCAACCCAGTACAGGGAAACATCCATACACGCTCATTCAGACACATACACTATGGACAACTTAGTTTATTCAGGTCACCTATACCACATATCTTTGGACTATTGAGGAAACTGGAGCACCCGGAGGAAACCCACATGAACACGGAGAGAACATGCAAACTTCACACAGAAATCCCAGCTGGGTCAGTTGGGACCCACTCGAACCAGCGACGTATTTCTGTATATTCTAAAGCTAAAAAGCATGCAATTTTGATAAAAATAACTGTAAATTAATATGAAAATAAAAGGTTACCTAAGACAATAGGCTGCTATTTTATTGTGGCTTCTGCTTGTGTGTTTTTAATTGACTAGATCTAAAAATTTTCATGAATAATTGGAGCATCAGCTCTAAACTGAGCTGCAGTCAGCTGCTAAAACACCAGATAAATGAAACTGAAAGTGAAACTGTGGTGGGATAGATTAAAGACAGTGGTGGGTACATAACACGTTAAACACTTTAACCAAATGAGATGAATATAGTTTAACAGTGTCAGGATAGAGTGAATTTGCTGCTGTAGACAAAGTGCAGCTGATACTGATGTATCAATTAGGCTTGGGCCCGTATAAGTTTCTGACGGTATGATAACCTCGAACATAAATATCACGGATTCACGATTTGACAATCTTGTGATTCAGTACTGATCTAAAATATATTCTTTTTAAATGTCTGGGTAAAAAAACAAAAACTTGTTCCCCTTTGAACACAATATATTTTATTTTAAGAAACATTTAAAATATTTTGAAGCAGTAAATATGTTAAGCTAAATAATTTAAATTAATCATTGACTTCTGTCTTCAGATTTCTTTTACAATTTAAAATGACATCTTTGGATATATGTTCTGTAAGAGATACTGTTGTCCAAAAAACAAACAAACAAACAAACAAACAAACAAACAAACAAACAAACAAACAAACAAACAAACAAACAAACAAACAAACAAACAAACAAACAAACAAATGTGAATAAAAAATCTTACATATACCTTTTTTTATGGTTTTAAAACCTTTAAAACCGTGGTATACCTTAAAAACGGATATTGTCCCATACCTAGTATCAATAAAAGTTTTTAGGTCTGTGTGATATGATTAAATTGTCAGATCATGATTTAAGTCATTTCAGATGCTTATAATGATACGTATATATATCATGATATAGTACTATTTCTTTTAATTATATCAGTTAATAGTTTATATACAATATTCTGATCACATCTAAAGGACTATTCCTTTTTTACATTATATACTTTTTAGTATTATACTATACATTTCCCTAATCAGACGATCACATGGCGGCAACTCAATCCATTTAGTCATGTAGACATGGTCAAGACGACCTGCTGCAGTTCAAAACAAGCATCGGAATGGGGAAGAAAGGTAATTTAAGTGACTTTGAATGTGGCATGGTTGCTGCCAGATAGGCTATTCTGAGTACTTCAGAAACTGCTGATCTACGGGCATTTTCACACACAACCATTATAGAATGGTCCGAAAAAAAGAAAATATCCAGTAAGCGGCAGTATTATGAACCAAAATTTCTGAGGTATATTTCCAATACCTTGCTGAATTTATCCCTTGAAGGATTAAGGCAGTTTTAAAGGCAATAGGGAGTCCAACCCTTTACATGTAAGGTGTACCTAATAAAGTGGCCAGTGAGTGTATACATTTATATAGTATGTACTCATTCCATATTTGATCGTATTTCTCACTTTATATTGGACTTCATGACAAATGAGCGATTAAACATTTATAAATATAGAAAATATAATAATCAAATTTAAACCACTTTTCACAAACAAATCGAGATCAGTCCAACATTTTAAAAAATACAAAATGTCCACATTGTACTTTAAAGATCGCAACTTTCTCACAATGTTGTTATTCACATTTCTCTCTGTATCCCTGTAATGCCATGTAATATTGCGCTGACATAAATTATGAAAAAGTATTACCGTAAACAATGTATTTTGTGACACAAAGAAATGACAATAGAGCATAATATGAAATGATAGACGTTCTATTTTGTCCATACCATATGTATCATCATATTGCACAGTAATATTATATTATATTAAATATTTCAGTATTCATATGTATCAAGCTATTATTATTTTCTTGACTGCACTAACATTAGAGCACGCATATCTGTTTGCGCTTTTGGTATCAACTCTCACACTCTCATGCTCATGATGTAACCGCTATGCATCCCTGTCTGTAGCGGCCCAGTTAATGGTGGTGCCTAGAGGTTTTTGTATCACTAGGACAGTAAAAAAATGCAGCATGGCTTGGCGGAAACAGGTAAACCACTCATGTGAGTAATTGTGGGAGTAGTTATGATAAGGATAAAGGGCTTTAGTGAGGATCTGGCAGCGTGTCCTTTACTGTCTGCTGTGTGCGAGTGAATGTGTGTGTGTTTGTGCGTGTGTGTGCTCGCAGGGTCCTCACCTCCTCTTTCCCTGAGATGGGATTTTCATGGATGGGTGAGCTTGGCTGAGGCTGAAAATACATAAGAAGGCTCGTTTTTCTCTTCAGTTTGTTGCAGGCACTTTGCTAGCTGAATTAAGTCACAGTTTTGGGCTTCGTGGATCCAGGCCAGAATCATACTGTATTTGGATGGCGGCAACTTTTTTTTTTCGATGAGATGTTTATAATGATTTAGTCAGCATAGAACTAGGAAGGCTGGATAGTCTAGGTTTAGTTTAGAAATAGAAAGAAATGTATCACAGGCAAACTTCAGCCAGAATTGCGATCGCTCTAGTGGATGCGGCTGGTCACTAATGTCTGCTGAGAGCTCATCAGATGGACCCAAGTCTCGGACATCACCCATTAAACCACATCAGTGTTTTAACAAGGCTGCCTGCTGGTGATTTGTCACAGCGGCTATAGTCAGCCTGACAAACAGCACTATGGGCAGACACAGCTGAACACTGCTGCGTACTATGTCTAGTCTGAGGATTCAGGGCAAATAATGAAAAATAGAAAGTGTCTCAGTGTATTTTAGGGTTGTTTTATGCCAACAGCATTCAAAGGCAGTGAATCCAGGCAGTTTCGTCCATACATTTTGCAGATTCACATTCCTTTTAACTCATTATGTGTCTTATATGAGCTCACGTTGTTGTTTGTCTTTTAATACAACACAAACTGAACATGAAGATAATCAGGTGGAGGAGAGATGCTGAAATTATGTTGTTTGTACTCCTTAATTTAGATGCTGTCATCTTTTTGTGCAGCAAAGATCAGTTTTTTTGCAATTAATCAAGCATTGATTTTTCAAAGAGCAAAGGATGGAAAATAATGATGTAATCTGGAATTAAAATCAAGGCAGAGATTCTCAGTACACAATATATAACCACAAAGCTTTGTCTCAAACTGGAGACACACTCTCAGAAATGAAGGTACAAATGTTTTACTTATGTTTTACCCCTTCAAAAGGTAGATTTTTGTACTTATTTAGGCACTATGTAGGGCTGGGCGATTTGGCCTAAAATCAAAATATCAATTTATTGAACATTTTAACTTGATTACGATTAATGAACGATTATTTTATTTATTTATTTGTCCTCATAGTTTACTGACAAGTTTTGTGCAGTAAATATGCTTGAATATTACAGGTGAGAGATTTTTGAATGACGGGTGCATTACTTGATTTTAAAATAATTGAAGTAAACACACTATTTACTAGCTATGATTATTTATTGAACATCAATGCTGAACAACTGAAATTAAAACACACGTTACCTAAAACGAGGCTCTTTGCATCGCCCAGTGTCGTCACCGCTACCAAACCCACCAATCACAAAGCTTGCGCTATGCGTCGTTGTGATGTGTAAGTAAATTTTTTTGAGAGGTGTGCATGTATGCAAAGACTGTGCCGGAGTATACACACACATGCCCTTGGCAGAAGTATAATATTATAATAATAAGTATAAA